TTTTCAAAATGTGCTTAAAATCCATTCGGACCTCAAAGCTGAAAAACAATGAAGTAAAAAATTACTTAAAATGAAAATATAATATTTCTGCCAATATATGTATTTTGGCGCTTTGAATTCCCAAGACTTCAGAAGGCGATAGAATCGAAATGCAGAGAGGACCCTTCATTTCATTTTGTTCAGGTAGGCTCCACATCTCTCCAAACGGGCAGTCCAAGGAGAATTGCACATTCACTAATGATAATGATGATAATAATAATAAGAGGAGGAGGAGAAAAACATTCTTGAAAAACAGCTCCAAATTTTTCAATGAAAATTGCCATTTCTAACAAGTCCTACTGTCATTTAATATTCTTCAAATAATATTTCCGCAAATATTGCTATGTAGGAAACCAAAACATTAAGAAAAAATTAAAATATGTACTTTTGAGGGCGATAGATGGCAACTGGTAAGAGTATGTGGCAAGTCCGATTAGCTAGCGGAGATTAAAGAAATTAGAAAAGTAATGTGGGAAAGTCTGTGTCATTCTAGCACTTCTAGCTAATTGACTATATCAAAGGCTCACTTTTTTCTATAATGCGATGATAAACAAGTTTCTCCCCCTGTGATTGGGTGTTTAATGTGATCTCTAAAAAACAATCAAATACAGTGATATTGAAATGCACTAAACTTATTGAGTTCTTAAATACTAGTTTTATTATTATTTTCTGCGACCAGTCTCTTATTAATAATTTTTGCAGATTCTTCAAATTCCTGACTTCCTCTACTTCTTCATACATTCAAAACATTTTAGTGTCATCTATATACCCCGTCAGTTACTCCGTTTGCACTGTTGGAACACTTTTCTCCTTCCTTTTTTTGGTTGGTCAGTGCAGTCATTTCCCTTTTGTTTTGGAAGATAATTTCATGATATTTACGATGTACTAGCCAGATGGAATTTTGCTTGTATAAAATTCGCATTATGCGTTAATGAAGTGTTCAGGAGCGATAAATTGCAATATACAAGCGGGAAAAGGTTTTCCAGTGGTACGTTTTATCAGTCCTTCCATTTGCCGTAAATGATTACAAAATCTGAAATGAATTTCTAACTCCAAAATAAGAGTGCTATTGAAAATCACTGGTCGGAAGGCGAAGTATTTCACCGAAAGACAGCGATGGAGATTTCTCTACAACCAATCG